GCCAGGCTGTGCTCTAAGGTCACAAAGTTCACGGAGAGAGGGGCAGCCCCAGGGGGTCCGGTCACCACCTTCAGAAACAAATCAGGGAAAACTATTTTACGTCCTCCTTTGAGGCAATTAAGACAAACGAGGAAATGCTTTTTAATCAGATTTCTTTAAGGTGGCAAAAAAAAAAAAAAAAAAAACCCTCTCCCTCCTTCACTCCCAGCACCCCCAAACAAGTCAGTTCTAAGCCTGGCCTGGGATGGGTGTCCCAGGGGTCAGAGCCCAGCTGCAGGGAGGGGGCCCCAGGCAGAGAAGAGAGTGGGGCCAGAGGCAGCGGGCCCCATTCACAGCCTGAGCAAATCAGTAAACAAAGGACCACAGACACCAGCAGAAAGAGAAAACTTAAAAACAAGGAAAGAGGGGCCCCTGGGTGGCTCAGTTGAGCGTCCAACTCCTGATCCTGGCTCAGTCATGATCTCACGAACAGGGAGATGGAGCCCCCACGTCAGGCTCTGTGCTGACAGTGTGGAGCCGGCTTGAGATTCTCTCTCTCCCTCTCTCTCTGCCCCTCCCCTGCTCCCACTCTCCCTCTCTCTCTCTCTCATTCTCTCTTTCTTGCTCTCAGAATAAATAAATAAGCATTTAAAAAAACAAGGAAAAGAATAGATTATAATGATATGCATATATTTTTAGGAAAATGGAAGAGAAGCCATGCACACATCAAATTAACGGTTACCTCCAGGAGGCCCCAGGGGTGAGGAGCTGAGAGATTTTCACTCTGGACTTTACTGTCTTTCTGTGTTGAACTGGAGCTGCTTATGTGGTTTTCTTCCACACACTGTGTATTGTATTTTATAGGCAACTTAGAACCCCCGCGGAGCCAAGCAGAGGACCTTCCGGGCCGGCCACCCTCCCAGACGCCCAGTCTACGCGGTGCCCATGTAACCAGATACGCCCCGGCCTGCGATCTGACCCACGCTGGGGGAGGGGCCCACCAGGGACCACCAGCTCTCCTGGGGTCAGAGCCGGGGCCGTGAACACAGGAGTCTGTCCCCTTCCCTGCTTCCCACAAGGGGGCGGCTGCAGGTGGGGACGGATGCGAGATGCAGGGGTGGAGCCAAGCCGCAGCGGCCCAAAAGAGAAGGGCGGCCCGAAGGAAAGGTGGGCCGTGCGCTGCCAAGGCCATTTCCATTACCCAGGGGAGTGGCCCAGCAGGAAGTCCCTGGTGGCCCGGGCGCGGCCGCAGCTCACACAGGCCGCTGCCCCACCACGCACAGCCTGGAACTGAAACCCCGGGGATGAACCAGGGACGGGGAAATCTGCGGTGGCTGCTCGCGGCCCCGAATTCCTCCGTCTGCACCGCAGGCCACAGGCCGGGCCGGGAGGCACGTGCCGCAGCCCCCTTTGCTGGGCCTCTCTAGACCCCTGAGAGGGCCTAGGTCCTGTGCGACTTCAAATACATCAATTCAGGAAAAGCGCGGTCCCTGCATGAGGATGGATGTCACAGAATGAATGTTTCTGTCCTTCCTCCCCCAAGTTCATATGTTGAAACCCCAAGCCCCAGTGTGACTATATTTGGAGACAGGGCCTTTGAGGAAGTAATTAAAGTTCAAATGTGGTCACAGGGCCAGAGCCCTGATCCAACTGGACAGGTGTCCTTATGAGAGGAGGAGACACCATGGGGCGCCCAGGGGGCTCAGTCAGCTAACCGTCTGACTCTTGACTTTGGCTCAGGTCATGATCCCAGGGTTGTAGGATGGAGCCCCACGTCAGGCTCTGTGCTGAGCATGGAGCTGCTTGGGATTCCCTCTCCCCCTCTGCTTCTCTCCCTGCCTGCTCTCTCTCTCTCAAAATAAGTAAATAAACCACAAACAAATAAGAGGAGACGCCAGAGATCTCACTCTCTCTCTCCACTGAGTGAGGACACAGCAAGAAGGCACCATAAGCAAGGAGCCAGGAAGACAGTCCCTACAGGAACCAAACCCCTGACACCTTGATCTTGGACTCCCAGCTTCCAGAACTATGAGAAACCAATGTCTGTTGCTTAATCCCCACCCCCAGTACGTGGGATTTTTGTTGTATAAGCCTGAACAGACTGACCCTCCATATGCTCAAGAAGAATAAAGTAAATGCAATCCAATGAATGGCATAAAAATAAATTCATAAAGTAATATGCAGAATTTGCCCAGAACTTAAGAGTAAAAGGATGGGGAGCGGGGGGGGGGGGGGGGGGGGGGGGGGGAATGAGAGAAAGCTGTGACGTCAGGACCAGGTGACTTATTCTCCGCCTGAGAGGGGATCTCAGGAAGAAAGAACAAAACAAAGCAGAGAGTGTTTCAAAGAGATTAACAGAAAAGGGTTTCCTATGGTAAAAATATACCCAATATAAGTCAAAACAGGCACAGAGAGGAGCTGAGATGTATGATAGTTGGGGTGGGGGGTGTTTCCAATGTCAAGGATGAGGCGGGAGAGACTTCCAAGTCTCAGCAAGAAAGACACAAACGGAGGCTGGACTCAGACTAATTCCCCTGAACACTCAATGCAAAAAAAAAAAAAAACAAAAAAAAAACAAAAAAAAACAGGCAAAGGACAAGTTGTTGATGCTCCTATGTGAACACAAAATACTAACATTTTCTTATTTAAATTAAAAAAATTTTTTTTAATGTTTACTTTTGAGAGAGAGAGCACAGGAGTAGGGTAGGGCAGAGAGAGTAAGACACAGAATTCAAAGCAGGCTCCAGGCTCTAAGCTGTCAGCACAGAGCCCCGTGCGGGGCTCAAACCCACAAACGATGAGATCATGACTGAGCCAAAGTCAGACACTTATCCAACTGAGCCATCCAGGTGCCCCAATACAACATTTTGAAAAGGCAAGAAATCAGAAGGTGCCTCATGGGTGTTAAACCACAACCAAAATCCTTAACACACAAAGAGTTCTTGCAAATCAATAAGAAAGGAAATCTCTTCCTACTGCACGTTCTCCTAGTGTTCACATCTAGTCTGTGCCCCACTCTTCGCCCATCCCTGACGCCCCGATCCGACCCTCAATGGGCAGTGGAGTTTGGAGCTACAGACTCTCCACCCGCCGTAGAGACCTCTTACTTAGATGTCTCACGTCTCAAAGGCCTGAGCGCCAGATGGGGCCAATGCTTCTCCATCTACTGCTTTCCGTACACCCCTTTGCCATTAGTCATCCCCTGTCCCGAGGCGGGAGGCCACCCTAGATGCCACCTCCCCTCCACCATCCACATCACACACCACTTTCTGCCGGGCAGCTCTTGCTCCTTCTCTGCCTCTGAAACCACTTCTGGACCCACAGGGATTAGTCAGCCCCTGTCGGCACACACCCAGCCTCATGGCACTCGAACAGACTCCCTCACATGGTACCTAGACCTTTAATGATCTGGTCCCCATCTCTTCACAGGACCACCTCTCATCTCTCCTAGTCACGCTCAACTCTACTGCCAGGCACGCCACCTGAGAAGTGCCGGGCTCCCTCTCGGCCCCGGGCCTCCGGATGCCTCAGCTGCAACGGCCTCCCTCTGCGTTCCTTGGCACTCAGTTCAAGTCCCCCTCTTCCACGACCCCTGTCCTGAACCCCCAGGCTGGGTGACGTGTTCTCACCCACAGCACCCAGAGTTCAACATCAGAGCTCCATCAGACGCCTACGGAGCTGGAGAATTACCTGAGGGCAGAACTGCCCTTGACTTTGGCATCCCCGGTTCCCGGCCAGGGGGAGGCAATGAGTGAGGAGCCCATGATCACCGAAAGCTTCTCGACACCCTCTCACACTTCTGCAGTTCCAGACATTGCGGACCCGGGCCTTACAAAGCCTGGAGTGCCTCTCTGAGGCAGAGCTTCGCACCCAGACACCTGACGAGGCAAACGTGTGCTTGCACGGCCTGGCCCCTAAGTGTGGGGAATTCTCTGCTCACCCGCCTCGACTGAAAAGCAGTGTGTACAGTACAGGCTACCTCCCGTTACGTGATGGGGAGTGAAACTGCCAGATGCTGGCTTTGCGGGCTCCCTGGGCTCCGTGGATCAGAGTCACCCACGCTGGCTCTGACCCAGGCACTCGTGATGCAAAATATGAGACAGAGAGGTCGCTCTGCGGCGGGAGCAGCAGACGGTCCATTTCCAGAATTGATGTGCGGCGTGGTTTGGGGCATCGCTGCCAGCCTCCCGGCCCCGAGTCTGATGCTCAACAGCTGGGGGACACGGGACACGGGAGGTGTCCTACATTCCTTTCATAAGCGAACGTCTTTTCTTCCCAGCTCAGCAGGAAGCCGCTTCTTTGCAACTGGCAGCCCAGACTGAGGAGACGGATTACTCCTCGAAGCCACCGCGAGCTTTCAAGGTGGGTTTGTCACTTGACCCCACAGTTACAGATGAAGCGTGGTTCGGAAGGGACGCTTTGCGTTCGTCTCCAAAATGCCGGAAGAGGATCCTAGAGGAAGACAGCCACAGGCGCTGCGCTTGCTGGTGGCGGCAGAAGTGCCACTTCTGGCAGTGACCATCCTGGGCTGAAGGGCCCTTGGGGGACGCACACCTGCGGGCTCTCTCCCTAACGGCCCTGCCCTGCTGCACCGACAGGCTCTCAGCAGGGAGCTCCAGGCTTCTCTTCACGCTACAGGCCAGGGTCAGGCGTAACTACGCCTATTTGGTACAGTAACTACCACTCGAGTCCCTTTCAGTAACAAGTGCACCAGCACCTTCCGGCTCCCCAGCCCCAAGCACTGGGGAACTGGGTGGGCTTCTGGTGCAGCTTCATGTTCAGAGTACCTCGCCCGGTGCTGCCCAACCCTGAGCTCCGCACAAGTAAATTCTGCATCGTCCCGAATGCGCAGCAATGATGTGGATGCAGACCCATCAGCGGTTTCATGATTTCTGATGAATCCCCGTCTTTACGATCATCTCACGAGCTGAGTCCGTGTGCAGGGCCCCCACCCCACCCCCACCGCCGGGCAGCTGCCCCCCAGCCTTGGCTCTGGGAGGGGAGGCACAGCTGGGTCTTACCTGCCTGCGCGGCTGTGATTAGGGCCGTGTTCCCCTCGCTGTCTTGCCAGTTGACATCAACGTGGGGGCACTCCGCTAAGACCACCACGGTGTCCACAAAGCCGTGGTAGCAGGCGACAATAAGGCCGGTCTAGAAGTGAAGAGGGAAGCGGGTCAGAGGGGCAGAGCCCAGGCGTCACCCCTGCAGACCCTTCATGCATGCACTGTCCCCCCCGGAGGTGGGGGGCAGGCCAGGCGAGCAGTGCTGGGAACAGAGAACCCCGAGTCCGGGGCGGGGCAGCGGTTTAGAACAAGCCAGCCACTTGCTCACTCTCCAGTGTTTACCGAGTGCCGACCACGAGGGAGGCACGGTGCCCGGGAACCACCACGGACCCAACACGCCTGCCCTATGTGGTTTGCCTTCTAGCGGGGGGGGGAGACAGCACACCTAGACCTAACATACGGGCAATGGCAGAGTGTTAGAAGGTGGACTTGGGTAAGAGAGGCTCTGAGTGCAGAGGGGACGTGGCTCAATCTCAGGTAGGATGCTTCAAGGCCGGGGGGGGGGGGGGGGGGGCTCCCTGGGAAGAAGTCATTGGACAAAGATGGGAAGGCAGCGAGGGAAGGGGTCGCGGAGGGAACCTCCAGCGGGGAGGCCGGGGCCTGCGTGAACCAGGAGGGGGACTCAAGGAAGCATCAGAACCCCAGAGGCCGCGGCACAAATGCTGAGACCAAGCACCAGCATGGAGTCCGGCTGCTGGATGGAAACACACCAGAAGACCAGAGTGGAAGCAGGGAGACCAGCGGGAGGGGCTGCATAATAAAAATTAAATTATTTGGGTTTTGTCCCCAGTTCCTGGTGCACGGTGCTTAAAACCCATAGAAACGACTGTTTCTTGAATGCGAATGAGATGACACATATCAGGGGCCAGGTGCTGGTAGCTTCAAAACGGGGGCCAGTCTCTAGAAAGGCCAACCACCAAACAAGCTGGAGGTCAGATCTCACCGCTGCTCTGCACAGCCCCAGCCAGTAGGCAATGACTGCATAGTTAGAGCAAATCATGTCTACTTAATGAAAGCTGCATCATAAAAACCCCTGAATGACGGGGTTTGGGGAGCTTCTGGGTGGGTGAGCACCTTGAGGTGCCGGGTGGGCGGCACGCCGGGAAAGGACATGCAATCTCTACACCCTTTCCCGTGCCCTGCCCCAAGCACCTCTTCCATTTGGCCCTTTCTGGCCTTTACCCTTTATGATAAACCAGGGATAGTAAGGAAAGTGCCTTCCTGAGTTCTGTGAGTTATTCCAGCAAATTATCGAACATGAAGAGGGGCAGGGGTGGGAACCCCCAAATTTTATAGCCAGTTGGTGAGAAGGTGACCTTAGGTGGAGACTGGAGTCTGAAAGCGGGGGCAGTCTTGGGGGCCTGCGCCCGAAACCTGTGGGGTCTGCACTAACTCTGGACAGTCGGTGTCAGAATTAACGAAATTGCTGGAGACCCCACTGGTGTCAGAGAACTGGAGAACTGGGATGGAAAACCCACACGTATCTGGTGTCAGAAAGAAAGACGTCCCAGGGGACTCCCACGGCTGCTGCGCCGGCGATGATCGGTCATCCATGGGCCAGGGAGCCCACCCCCACCAGAGCCTGACCCTGTGGGCACCCTGGTCGCAGATTTCCGGGCTCCAGGACTGAAATTTCCGCTGTGGCTAAGCCATGCACTTTATAGTATTCTGCTGTAGCAACTGCTGAGCTGACTAAACACTCTGTAACAAAGGAAAATGATCCAAGCGCCCTCACACACAGAGATCCGGTGGCATGCAAAAACCCAACCCAGGGTATGACGTCACCGTCCAGAATGAAGGATGGATCGGATGGATCGCAGGATGCTGAGCACGGCCGGCCACACACCCCACCACGTGGGGGTCGCAGAGCTAACGTTTAGAGCCACTCCACTGAGACCCAGCTCTACTGTGGCCAGAATTTTAACAAGAATGTAATTTTTCACGGAACAAGGGGAAGCCATGGACGGTCCCACCTGCTTATCTCAATAAGGTCCCTAGTTGCTGAAGAATACCGAATCACAAATATTAGAATTTTTAGTTTTAGGGACTCCCGTTGAGTTTTCTAAACACTGACATCCGTTCTGCAGTCCAAGGATCTCTATGCTGTTGGGACTACAGGAAAGGCTATTTAATATGCCCCAGCTTCTACGTTCTTTGAACGAAGTCATTCCTTCTACAGAGTGAAATGTTCCACGAAAATTTCATTTTAAAGAGAAGAGAGCACAAGTGAGCCCAGGCTTACAAGCTGCTAAGGCTTCCGTTTCTCTGAACTAGAGTTCACTGCTACCAATGTCTGCATCTTCCCGCCCACCCTGTCAGCTCACTGCCGCGTAAAGGGTCTGGCAAACGTGTGACTCCACTTGGTAAGTACCAAAATCTCCTCTTGAGCTTCTTTGCACAGAGGTATTTCTCAAGTAGTCTACAATTTCCTGACTTATACGTAAGGCATGCTGGACACAGTGTAACCTCTTCCTTTTTACATGATTGTACAAGAAGCTCATATTTATTACAGAAAAAAATCTGAAAATGGAGATGAAAAAAATTCCCCAGACATACACAATCTTACAAACACACATGCGTGTGTACGTGCATGCACACACGCGCACACACTTTTTTTTCTATACCAAAATAGGATTATCTGCTATTATGTTTCAATGAGGAAAACAGGAGCAACATCTTTTCACATCAATACAAATATTTCTGTGTCAACCTCTACAGCAGAACGTATATGCTACAGTAGTATCTAGTATATAATATCTATTATATACCTACTATAGCGGAATGTTATTATATATCTACTACAGCGGAACGTTATATTCTAGTGTATGGTACGGTAGTATCTAGTATATAATACCTATTATATACCTACTATAATATCTAGTATCTAGTATATAATAACTATTCATAGTTATTTCATGAATCCTCACTCTTAGATACTGAGATTGATTCCTATTTCTCCCTATTATGAGTAAACTTTGGAATGGAGACCCATAGCTTCATGCATCTCATTCCTTTTGGTCTCAGGAGACATGCTTAGAAGCAGTATTTCTGGACTGAAGGAAAGAGGTATCTTGAAAGGTTTCAACACACATTGAAAATCTGCCCTTCAAAAATCTCCCAAAGAGCATTCACCTTTGCCAATCTGGCCACCCAATGTTACCTACGGACTCTGGTTTAAAAGGAGGAATTTCCATCAGTGGACAATAAAGCAATGAGTGCGTGCCAGTGTTCCTGAGCCTCTGCCTCTTGGTTTAGCTCTCTCTTTTGAGGCTGTGCTCACCTCCATGCCTTGTTACCACGGCCCCACCTACCATAAGACTTCCCAAAAGGAGCAGCTCGCTGCTGCTAATCGTAGCCTTGGGAATCTTAGCACAATCTTAGGCCAAGAATGAAGATTATCAGGGGGAAAACTAGACAACTAAACCTGAGGGCTCAGCATAAAGTGGTATCAGACGCAGAAGGGAGATACCTAGTCTCCCGACAGAGACTGACTTACATTCCTATTAAAAACAATTATCTTTATCCCATTCCCCCCGGGAGTCTTTCTGACCTTTCTCTGTGTAAGAAAGACTGCTGTTTGACTACTGTTTAAACTCTCTGCTCTAGCTGGGGCATCTCGGCGCCCCTCGACGGGAGCGTTGGAGGGAAAATCTTCAGTAATCTCAGACCATGGTTTCCCAAGACGAATCACAACAAAAGTCTCGTCACAAAGGCAATAAATATTAACCACTTGCTCTGATGACAGAAGCCCATTTGCAGATGTCCCCTGAAGCCACTATTTTTTTTTAATTACAAGCAAAGTGTCCATGAGAATAAAATAATATTGAGAAAAAAACAAGTACACTACCTACACGTGGAAGCGGCCATTTGGACATGAGCTAGAAATTCTAGTTCCCCAAATACAAGCTTCATTTTTAAGCCCTCACACCATAGGAAAGTTGGGGCAGCAACTACAAAATGGGTTGGGATGTTTCTACTTAAAAACTGTAAGGGCTGGGGGCGCCTGGGTGGCTCAGTCGGTTAAGTATCCAACTTTGGCTCAGGTCACGGTCTCACGGTTTATGGGTTTGAGCCCCACATCGGGCTCTGTGCTGACAGCTCAGAGCCTGGAGCCTGTTTCAGATTCTGTGTCTCCCTCTCTCTCTGCCCCTCCCCTGCTCGCTCACTCTCTCTCTCTCTCTCTCTCTCAAAAATAAATGAACATTAAATTTTTTTTTAATTGTAAGGGCTGGTGCATGAAAAAAACAAACAAACAAATGCAGACCCCATTCCTTGCAGGCAGAAAGGAGGATCTAACACCAGGATTATAGCAGCATCATTTATTACACTGATGGATTAAAGAGGTGGAGGCAGGAAGAAAGGTGACCAAGACTCACACACAAACATCCAGAAAATGCACAGGAAGCATCTAGATGGATTACACCCAAGTGTTAGAGTAATGTCCTCTGTAGAAGGAATGGGAATAGAGTGTGTGTGATGGTTAATTTGATGTGTCACAAATTTACATTGTACCTGGGTATCTGGTCAAACAATATTCTAGGTATTTCTGTGAAGGAGGGTTGGTTTTTTGTTTGTTTTTTGTTTTTTATGAGACTAACATTTAAACACACATGTATATACACACACATTTACATAGTTATATATAATTATGTATAACTAGACAGATCTATCTCTGTGTGTCTAGATACAGATATGTATGGAGATACAAACACAGACAGAGAGAGATCTACAGATACACAGACTCGGTTGGTCTCTCTCTCCACAGACTCTGGAATAATTCAAGGTAGGTGTGGGAAAGGAACACTTTGAAAGAACTGCTTCTTACTCTTTATTTTTCTACCCAGTTCACATTCTTTATTTCTTTATGTTTATTCTTTATTTATTTTTGAGAGGGAAAGAGAGCACGAGCAGGGGAGGGGCAGAGAGAGGGGGAGACAGAGAACCCCCAGCAGGCTCTGCACTGTCAGCGAAGAGCTCGATGCTGGGCTCAAACCCTCAAACTGTGAGATCATGACCTGAGCCGAAATCAAGAGTCAGGCGCTTAACTGACTGAGCCACCCAGGCGCCTCCCGCCTTTTTGTTATGTTT